GATCGTGGCTATGTGGGGAAGCCCTGCATGCAGATGGGAGTGTTATGCTGTTGTGGCTTTGGGTGACCTTCTTGAGCTGTCAGCACAGGCCAACAGCAGTTACCTTAAAGGCTGTTGGAGGATTGGGACCAATGCCTAATTTTGTGGGGCCTGCTCTTCTGTGCTGGGGAATAATTCCTGTTCTCTCAGGTTTAGGGCCCAGGAAAGAGCAGATGGAGATATTACCTTGTGGTTATAAAAGTGCCCATTGATGGAGAACCGATGACGTCGTATCTTCTGGGCTTCGCCGGGTGCCCGGGACTTGGGCCTCCTCTGGATTATACAGCTGGCATCGCTCTTGGTCCGCATGAGCTGTGGGACCTCCTCCTCCTCTTCCAGGGGTGCTGCAGAAAGAAGTAGACGGGAAGGTGGGACAAGTGTGGCTCCAGCTGTGACACTGTCTGTTGGGTTTGGAACCTCGTGATCACAGCAGACAGCAATGCACTGTCCTGTTAATAGCGATCCTTGGTTGGCCACTGGGCAAGGGTTCTGTCTATGCCACAGTACATCTCATGGTAACTGCTGAGGTCCATGGTCACTCTGGCCCTATCCTCTGAGCACTCAGTCAGGGACAAGTCCTTCACTAGGTGCTAAGGGGACAGAGGGCACAGATGAATGATCACTGATCTTGGGCATGAGAATGAGGGCTTAGAGGCCTGGGACGAAAGGAAACAACACCGGCTATTGAGCCCCTTCCTTTTTATATCACAGCCCGTTGCAGGAGACTCAGGCCAAGAACATAGGTGACACTTCTACAGGTCCCTGTTTCCTTTTCCATAAAAGGAACGAAGAAGAGTGCGTGGCTCCTATATCCTGCTGACAGATGCTTAGCAAGGGTTTCTTATGAGATGACGTGGCAATTTTTTCCATATGGCTGTTCTTCAGAGACTGTGTGCACCCACCGAGACAGGCTTTGCTTACCTGAGCTATCCCTGGAAACCTCAGCCTTGTTTGCATGCTGAGTGCCAGGCTCCTTCACAGTGACCTTGCTGTCCTGGGGTGAAGCCTCCTTTCTGCAAAGAGAGAAGTACAGTTCCCAAGTGGCTGTGGATAGAGAAGAGCCTGCCCCGCTGCTTTTACAGGCAGAGCCCAGGTGGGGAGCAGCAAAGGCTGGGGGTGGGGATTGTATCAGGATACGTAGAAAAGAAAGCTCCCCTCAGCAACTATTGGAAGGAGCTGGAGTCAGGGCCTTAGAAATCTGAGTAACTGTTCTGGGCTGCATCACAGACCAGGTGCAAAGCCCGTGCCGAAGTGTTCCTGGGATGCAGGCTCACCAGGTTAGGGCCTGCACAGATGTATGCCGAAAGAGCTTGCTGGGTTTATTGAGGGTGTTGTGGGTCTAAAAAAGCAAGGTTAACCCTGGAGATCAAATCTCCAGGCCTCTTGCCAGAAATGATTCCAACCCCAAGCCAAAGAAGGTAGCGTCATGTCAGGGAAGGAACAGGTGTAATGAGAGGCAGGTAGCATTCAGTACAGAGGGAGTGCAAAGAATGAGAAAGGAGGACCTACCCTGGACAGCCTACGCTGTGGGTGTGACTGCTGACAGGCCGCTTTTACCTTACGTGGGGGAAGGGGGACGTGGGTCACACTCGCAGCCATTCTAAAGAGCCCTTATGTTTTACGTCTATGTGGCTCAAAATTTGTACCAGTGGCCAGAGACACCTGGTGATAAGAGCTGATGTGTCGCTGCCCCATACTCCTAGAGTGCTCATTTCCTCTGCGTGTATATCTCGTAAGGTCTATTTATTTATTTAACGTGCATGTGTATTTGGCTATGTGCTTGTGTGCACCACATGTTGCAGGAGCCCATGGAGGCCATAAAAAAGAACACTGGATCTCCTGGGGTAACAGGCAGCTCGGAACCACCACATGCACGCTGGAAACTGGACCCGGGTCCTCTGCAAGAGCAGTAAGGGCTCATAACACCTGAGCCATCTTTCCGGCTCCTTCATGTATTATTTTTTAAAGTAGTGCCTCAGTATGTAGCCTAGGCTGGGTTCAGACTCACAATCTCTCTGCCTCAGTTTGCTGAGGGCTATAATCTCAGGCACACATGTGTCACCAGGCCTATGTGACCTGCATATTTGAAAGGAACAACATTTTGAATGTTTGCCTCTGAAAAGCCATTACATGAAAAAGCAAAACTCAAACTAACTGTCTTTCTCCTGGTGGTAAAATAAATCTCAGCTTGAAGTCAGTATGTTTATCCAAACAGAACATGTCGTTGATGTAAAACAGTAGCAGCGGGAAGATGAATTTGTGTGGATACCTCCTATTCCCTTCTGTGCAGATCCCAGTGGGCTGAGGACGTAGCTCATGGGTAGAGCACTTAGCCCTGGGTTCAGTCCCCTGCACGGAAAACAGGAGGGGGCATGACTATTACAGAGAGAGAACAGTCATAGAACCGTCTCCAGGGAGGGCACCCGAAGGATTGCCTGTTGGGTGGGCAAGCTTAGAAAGGACCCAGGTAGCCACTGGATATGAGAGGGAGATTGATCTGTGCTCCCACACCTAAGCCCCATACAGCAGCGGGGCATCTAGCCCAAGGCTGAGGATGCTCCACATATAAGCTCCACTCCATGGTGCTCATGATAACGGATGTCAGGAGGCCCCGGGCTCTGCCCCACCTGCCAGGCACTCACTGGAGGTAGGTGGACCGGTCAGGCATCCAAGAGGCAGAGGGTAGGTGCACTCGCTCCCGATCATCCTGCATCTGGAGCCGGATGGGTCGTCTGAGTCCCCAGGCGATGTTGAGGAGTCCTTCGATGATGAGAGCCCCTTCTTCCTGTGGGGTCCACACGGGTCAGTCACTTCACAAACCAGCAGTTGGCCAGAGGTTGCTGTTTTTCCTCTCTGTGACCCCTCAGAACAGGAGCCCCCCCCCCAAATACACTCCTACCCAGAGAAGAGCGAGCAGTGCTCACAGGCTTTAGCGCATGAGGGCAGGAGCCTGCAGGAGGAAGAAGGGGGTGTTCTTTCCTGCTAAGCCCAGGCCTGGCTACATGCAGAGCTGGAGGCAGCACGGAGCTGCTGAGTCAGGAGTCCCCCAGGACAAGGCAAGTGTTTGGCAGGCACGTCCACACAACCTGGAGGAAGCACAGCCCGGCCACTCATACTGGGCGAGGCTCTCTGGCTCAAACTCTACCGGGACAGAAGTTTCCACGGTTATCGGGTCCTCCTGGACATCATGGCCCCTGTGTGCCCTGCGTTGTCCTTCTGGCCACATGTCCAGACAGTGGTGACACCAACTGACCTCATCCCCAGTAACATTACCCCCACTTTTTCCCCTGCTGGTGGGCGTTGGTTGGTTCAACACTTCTGGGACATTTCCATAGCCTATCACCAATCTAGTAACGGTTTTCATACTGAGACCAAGACCTGCTTTGACTCCTTAGGTCCGCAAATGAAAGGACTGCCACACAACTCCAATCCACAGTGCTCCACGCCACAGGCACCCCGCCTAACAACTGCCAGACAACCCCAATCCACAGTACTTTATGCCACAGACACCCCGCCTAACAACTGCCACACAACCCCAATCCACAGTGCTCCACGCCACAGGCACCCGCCTGACTCTGCTCAAACCCCTTTCACACTGGCTGTTTGCCTCTGTCTCCATGGATAGGACTGGCTCTCTGGCCTTCACGATCACCCCCTGAGAAACTGTGCTGACAGAGACCCACCAGCACCTCTGCAGAGCGCCAACCTCACTCTCCCAGTCATTTCACCCAGTACTTTATTTCTTTACTTACATGTTCTGTGCTAAGAACATTTAACATAAGAGTCCCTTTTCATACCCCTATTCTCCCCCTACCTCTTTTCTCTTATTCTCTCTTGTCTGCGTATTTATTCAGCGGTATTCTGTATCTCGTGACCACTTAAGCTATGATTAACCTCTTTTCATATCTATCTATTTGCAACATGGTTCCCATCTTGGATTTCGAAGTCGCCAGGGATTGGCAAACTACGATTCACGATGACCGACATGCACTGTGAACACAGAGGATGATGGTGATAATGCAGGTCCTGATGAAAGGTTCAGAGTGCTGTCGGGCTTCCTAATCCATGAGTCCTACGCAAAGTCTGGTGTTAGTTTTCTCCTCTCCTCTACAAAAGGTCCATCGAGTGATTCTAAGACACGGTGGTGAAGGGCATGGTTGGCCTGAGCGAGGGCTGAAGACTCGCATACTTCATGACTGCTTAAGTGCACAGGGCAGAACTGATTGCAATGGGCACTCATTGCCCTGTGGATCTCTCTAAGATTCGTTCAGCTTGAAGAACCGCAAGCTTTCACTCGTTTATCAACAATCCCCCCTGTCCCTATCTTCACCATTCTAGATAGCCACCATTCTTTCTGCTTCTGTGAGCTTGATTTATTTTGGATTCCACACAACACTTAAGTGAAATCATGCGACCCCCTTCCCCCAACAAATTCTGCTTCTCCCTTGATTGTCATGGAAAGACCCGGGGAGAACAACACAAAGCCATGACAACTTACGCATCAGCCATACTTAACGGTCATTTCTGGTTTCATCCAGTTTCAAATGCTCCACTGCCCACAGAGAGAAGAACTAAGGCTAGCAAACACACACACACACACACACAGCTTTCCGATATGCAGTGTTTGCCTTAACAGATGGGCAAAGGGCTGGAGAGATGGCGCAGCAGTTAAGAATACTTCTTACACTCGAAGAGAACCCAGGCTTCATTCCCAGCACCTGGGTGTTGGCTGGGCTCTCCCAGCAGCCCCTGATCTGGCTTTGGTCTCTACCTATACTGAAACTGTCTAGGTCAAGGCGAGGTGGCTGCCCCATTCCTCACCCCGCAGTGTAAACATTTCCCAGTCTCCCACAGGCACACACACAAAGGCCAGGCTGGCAGCTGGGCCAAGCCCCACCCTCCTCCCTGTTTTCCTCTGAGAACCTTCCTAAGTGTTGCTATTTTGAGCTTTCCTGACAGTAATTGATGACTGGAGGAAACATTTAAAAGCAGCAGCGGGTGTCTGGGTTTGCCAGACAGCGCAGGGGAAGAATCCACAGCACATCACTGGATTGTCCTCGAGACCGGGCTGTGACTGCCCACCTCTGGGTGTTTCCTTTGGGTTAGACAATCTTTACTCATCCAGACTCCTGCCACCCTGCCTGCCGATCCACAGGTAAGAGGAATGATTGTCTTCTGGCTTGCCGCCTTAAAACACAGGGGCTTGATTATATCTGAGGGCCTTTCTTCCTCTGGGCTTTATAGCCTGGCTACTGGTTAGAGACCAGGGTGGTGGGTGCCACTGATGGCTGTGATAATACGGTGTTCCCCAAGGCTTTCAAGTTTACAAAGAACTCAAGAGCTGTGCTATAAAAGCGATGATTTCATGCATTTCTCAGACTATTCCTGCCAACGGGCTGTTTATAATCCTGTTAGCAGATGGCTAAGCAGAGGTTTGGAGAGGGGACATTGCTAAAGGACTCCAGGTCATGAAGAGACAGAGATGGATTTAAAACCTGGGTGCCCTCGGACCCCGCATGAACACCCTCAGTTCTCTTATTTGTTCATTCTTTATTTTAAATTTTTTAATTCATTATTTGTATGAATTAATTTATTTGTATGAGTGTTTTGCCCACACAAATGTATATGTACTACATACATGCCCATTGGAGCCCCTGGGACTGGATTTATAGATGGTTTGAGCCACCACGTGTGATAAGAATTGAACTCAGGTCTTCTGTAAGAATAAGTACTCTTAACTGCTGAGCCATGTCTCCATCCCCATTATCTGGGTATCCTTAAACTACACTAGCGATGAAGAGGTAGCATGTGGATTTTGATGTTAGCAGGAAGGAGCCGGGAGATGAGCCTTGGTCTCCCATCCACAGGCTTCGTATTGCTTTCTGGGTACCCGAGTCTTGTGTGGCTTCTACAGTGATGGGAAAGAGGTAGGATGGGGGTCAGGATGGCATGGTAGGCGACTGATTTTCTCTTGGCCAACAGCTTGTTTTTGCTCTGTTAGCAGTGATGAGGTCCCGGCTTCTGCTGCCTGTTCCCCACTTGCCAACCATTCGGGAAACTTCTGAAGAGTTATCACATGGGACACCTGGGCAGGAACCCCCAACTTCCCCCAGCCTGGATGATTACGTTAGGTCTATTTGTCAGCTGGCACAGCCCACCTCAGTGCTTGACAAAGTCATAGTCCGGAATCAACCCCAGAGACCCTACCGGACAGCCTGGACTAGAGAGAAGAGATGCCAGGTCGAGTCTCAAGGGGACAGCTCTCCTTGCTTCAGCAGCCCACAGCCCCCGCTGCCCTCTCCTGGCAATGACAACCCTCTGGACTGGCTCTTCGGGAAGTCCCAGGAACAACAGACTGAGAGGAGAGACCCGCCCAATGGGACCAGCTCTTCGGATCACTGGGGTGTGCACAAACAGATGGACAAGGACATGGGGAGGCTCTGTGAGGCCAGGGTACCCGAGTGCTCTCTGGGAAGAAAATCAGGGCATAGGCAGACCTCCAACCTGAAAAGCTGGACTTCTAGAAAGTCTCACCCGGCCTTCGCCTCTGTCTCCGGCTCCCGCCCCAGAGGCATCCTCAGCACCCTGTACTTGCACCTCCCAGTGATCCATGAACTCTAACCCTCCTGGCAGGGCTGCGGGGACTGGACAATTCCTAGTGAGACCCGACATCTAAAGAATGATGACAGTCTGGTTCCCACAATGCAACCTGACTGGTACCATCTGCCTGTGAGTGGCTGGCTGGTGACCTTGAAAGAGTGACTTTGTGTCTCTGTTGCTTAGTTTTTATCATGGTTTAAATGACTGTGCAGAAGGAGAGAGAGCACGAGCAAGGAACTCAGGGCCACGAGGGGTGCACCCACACACTGAGACAATGGGGATGTTCTATCGGGAACTCACCAAGGCCAGCTGGACTGGGTCTGAAAAAGCATGGGATAAAACCGGACTCGCTGAACATAGCGGACAATGAGGATGGCTGAGAACTCAAGAACAATGGCACTGGGTTTTGATCCTACTGCACGTACTGGTTTTGTGGGAGCCTAGGCAGTTTGGATGCTCACCTTACTAGACCTGGATGGAGGTGGGAGGTCCTTGGACTCCCCACAGGGCAGGGAACCAGGTCTGCTCTTTGGGCTGATGAGAGAGGGGGAGTTGATTAGGGGAGAGGGAGGGAAATGGGAGGTGGTGGCGGGGAAGAGACAGAAATCTTTAATAAATAAATAAATTAAAAATAAATAAATAAATAAATAAATGACTGTGAGCAGTGACCAACTCCCAGATTGCTCTAATGTGGAAATGTGTACTGTACTCTGCGTGGCTGCCAAGGTCTCACGTGAAACCAAGGGTCAAGGGTCAAAGGGGGGGTCTCAACTCCCTGTGGTTTCAACCTTTCTAATGCTGTGACCCTTTAATGTAGTTCCTAATGTTGTGGTGACCCCAACCATAAAATTAATTTTGTTGCTATTGTAATTTTGCTACTGTTATGAATCTGTGTTTTCTGATGGTCTTAGGTGATCCCGTGAAAGGGTTATTTGACCCCCAGAGGGGTTGTAGCCCATAGACTGGGAACCACCTAAAGTCTCTAAGTAAGGGCCTGAGCTCCACCCTCCACCCTGGGGCACATATCTCCCGAGGTCTCAGCAGATGTACCACTGTATTTCCGAGGGACTGTCACGTAGGGAACCTAAGAAGCCCGCTGTCTCGATTCCTGTGCACAGATCTCACTGTGGTACCAGAGACATGCTCAGGACCCAAACAGAATCCTCAGCACACAGTCTGAAGGCTGCCACATACCTGGATCTGGTGACCTGGTCACTATTTGTCCTGTAGTGTGCCCACCATCTTCACCGAGTCCCTGCTACAGGAAGGGGCTCCCAGCAGGAAGTTGTTCAACCCCCTTGTTCTAGCTAAGCATGGATGGCCTAAGGCTTTGGAAATCCATCTGTGAGAATGCCAGCTCCTGGGGGTATCTACCAAGCAAAAGGGGGAAGATGGGGAGCCAGCAAAGGGAGGATTTCCTTTCTCAGAGAAGCAGGTGTGTTCTCGGAGAGCAGATATGGGGCAGGACTTACGGCCCAGCACCCCTTTCCTTTACTGGGCTGGAGCCATCTGGCCCCACTCAGGATGAAAGGGTCCAGGTGAGAAGGACCAAGCTGGGGCTGCTTCTGGATTTGCTCGATGCACTGCCAAATGTGTGTGTGTGTGTATGTGTGTCTAGGTGTGTACAGGTGCACACATGTCTGTGTGTGTGTACACGTGTGCATGTGTGTGTGTGTGCATGTATGGTTTTAACCATTTTGCTGTCCTCTTTTGTATCTATTTTCTCAGAAACAGAATGTAAACCACATACAAAAACAATGTTCCAGACAAGCAATTTCTTCAGTTTTCTTATTCATAAAATGCAGGACACCCTGGACAGGACTGGGAATGCTGGATAGGTGGACACGCATAGGAAGGCGGTTTACATCACCTGCTGTGTCTCAGTAACCTCAAACTGGACTCTTTGGGCAAATGTCCCACGTGAGATAGGAAGACTGGCCTAATGACAGACTGGGTGCCTGTCTGGAGATGAGGTTGGCAAGGCTTGCTTTATCCAGCCTCTTTATACTTCATTCTGCAAAACAGCATAAAACTGGGCGGGAGGGAGACACTTGGCAATTGTCATGGCCCTAGTGGGTGTCCCACGAGCTCAGAAGTCAAGCTGCTGCACCGACGCTCACAGAACTTACTCAAACGTTCTGTGGTGTGAAGAGGCTCAGTATTGACTTTAGAAGGCGCACTACCCCACCCTACCGCACACCACACTCTCAAGTCCACTAACCATCCTGGGAAGGCAGTGCCCTCCAAGCTACGAGACCAGGGCGGTCTCATAGGCACTTTTCAGCTACCAGGAGACAGATATGCAGAGAGTCAGCTCACTCCAGGGTTCCAAGAGAGGGGTCAGTCCAACCCTTCCAGGGAAGTTGTGAAATATTCTTTTAAGTGAAGAGTGTTTCTCACACGGTAGAGCTCACATACAGCAGAACTGGAAGCAGTGTGAAACATGGCCACCAGGGGGCGACTGTAAACTACTAAGTACCAAGGCTGGTTGGAAAAACCCGTTCAGACACCCTGTCAAACGGACATGTTTACACATCTGCTTTTCCAGAAACCCGCCAACTTCAAAAGGTACTGATTGTTCTTAGAAGTTACGCTTTTCACTGTGACAAAAGCAAAATTACAGTTTTACAATAAACTGAGTGGCCGTCTTTCAGAGAGGAATTGCTCCCCCTCGTTCTTAGTAAATGGGAGAAAGGTCATTGGGAAACGGTTGTCCTAGGGTGTGCCTAGGACATCTCTCTACAGGCATCTTACCTGCAGTGAGGGAGTTTGGCCCCAAGCTGTGCGCTCAGTCTGTGGTTGCTTCCAGAAAGGCTTATGACAACTAGGAGGGTCCCTTCCAGAGCACACCAAATGGTGAATGCTTCAGCAACTTAAAGGTCCCTTATAGCCCGGGAGCAACAAACTTCTGGGTGTCTGAGACTTAGTCAGTGACACCCAATCCACGCCTTCAAGAAATTCTAAACCTTAGTGCCAGCCACGGCATTGCTCTCCCTAACAGTGGCACTCGGTTGGGCTCTGGAGCTATGCCAACCTGCCTCATTTACTGCAAAGTCCTGTAAACTGAACTATCCCCTCCGGGAGGGAGAAGGGGAGGTGGCACAAAGATGCCGGAAGTAAACAAACTGCATGACTGGGAAAGGTGAAACTTAAGATTCACCAGGGCCTTTCCCCAGGGGTCTAGCTGCAGGAAACAGCTGCTGGGGAGGAGACCCAGCTGCCGAGGGTGCGCTTTCCCTACCTGTACGATGTGCGGAGCTTCTAAGGGTACAGCTTTCGTGAATTGTCACCCATGCTGGGGTAGGCTTTCGCTGCTTTTGAGTCCTCCCTGCTCCTGTAGGTAACCTCTCCCCCATACTCCTGTGAGTATCCCCAACATTCACCAAACTGGACACGGGCCCATTGTTCCTTTGGTCTATAGTGGGTTCCTTTTCTGGAGTGAGTGGGTGTGAGTATGTGCTGCATCTCCCCAGGAAAAGTTGCTGAAACAATACAACTAGGGACTTAACTTCGGAGAGCCTCAATTTTGGAGTGGGGGTGGGGCAGGAAAGGGTCCATGGTAATAATTAGAAGAAAGGCCAAGTGGTCAGTGTACCAGATTCCTCCTGGGATCTGCAACTTCCTCCATCTGCCTGTCCTCATAATGCCCAAGGACAGGCCATTCTGGGATTGTCCTCTAGCGAGTGCTTGGGGCATGGGATTCTGGATGGCCAGCTGCAGATTTGAGATCCTTGCACTGGGTGGTAAGCTGAGTCACAGGGACTCAGTGAAACAGAGGACAGTGGGCGTGGCACCTTAGGAACCAATTGTGCCTGTCTGCCAGAACTCTGAGAGTCTGGACCTTCGGGCTTGCTTCTGCGGTCCTTGTTACCTTGAACATGCGCACACTTTCTCAGCCTGCCCACTCCCTGAGTCTGTTAACACTGCAGAGGACTCCTGAAAGGTATTTCCTGGTTCTATGGAAGGTCAGTTTGCCCTCTGGGTTTAGAGTTAGAGGCAAATCCCCTGCCATGGTTAGCTCTCTGCCAGGAGAGGCAGTCAGGGATGGGTTTTGCCAGCTGAAAAGCTTGCCGGTTTCAGAGTGGGCTGTCCCTCACGAAAACCCAGGCATGCTCATCCCCCACAGCCACTGCCACAGAAAGGATCACCTTGGGGAATCCCAAATGACAAGATCAAGGTCTTATCATGTAGTTCAGGCTGACTTAAAATGTACTAAGTGACAAAGGCTGGCTATGAACTCATGACAAACCTGCATCAGCTTCTGAATGCCAGAATTAGAGGTGTGTGTCTATCAGAATGACCCAAAAATGTTGCCAAAACACTGGTGGGAGAAGGAAAAGTTTTTGTCGTGTGTGTGTGTGGGGGGGGCACGAATGGGCAGGCACACATGGAAGATTTCTGTTTCCAGTCAGTTCCCTAGTGATGCTGAGGATGCTGCCACAGGGCCACAGCAGAGAGCCACCCCAGCCTGAGTAGGATCAGTCTCAGAAAACCCAAAGCCAAGGACGGGAAAACCCAGCCAAGACCCACCCACCACACCCTGTGCCTGTGCCAGGGATCTGGGGTGGGCACAAATTCCTCATTTAGTGGCACAGGTCAAAGATCCAAATCTCTCTAACCCCATTTGTCTGCCTCCCTCCCTTGGTGCCTATCACACCGGAGCTTGCGACTCAGGACTCTTGCTTGCAGGACGGCTCAAGCCTACACGTGCCCAGCTGTGTACAGAGCTTGAGCTGGCATATGCAGAACCAAGTGGGGCCCGGTCCCAGCTCCCAGCAGTTTATCACCCAGGTGAGAAAAGAGCCAGTGGGGCCTAAGATGGCAGGACGATAGGACCGGAGTCAGGCCAGAGCATTAGAGCCGATGTGGAGCCCGGGGGCTGGGAGTGGGCAGAGTGGGAGAGCGCTGGAGACAGCTGCTTGAAGGGAAGAGGATGAGAAGGAACCACAAGGTACCGAAAGGAGGAGACAGAGGGGAATGAGAGATCGCACTGGTGCCAAAGCCGCAAGCTGAGGAGTCAGGAGGGTGTAAGAAGAAAAGTCAGAGCTCAGGGTTTCTGTTAGAGATGGCATAGGTGGCCCAGCTCTGTCTGGACTAGGAACCTACAGCCTCTCCCACTCTGCATGAGTGGAGGCACCAAACACCACTGTCCTGGCCCATGGTGCTGCTGGACACGACTTGG